GAAAAAAAAAATGAAGTTGAAAAACTTATAAAAAAGCAATAAATAAAAATATTAACAAAATAAAAATATAGAAGAAACGTTATTAAAAAATATATAAATAAAAACTCCAGGAAGTATATAACACATGCACAAGAGTGTACGTGTCATGAGCAGTGGATGACACGTGCACAAGAGTGTATGTGTCATGAGCAGTAGACGACACGTGCACAAGAGTGTATGTGTCATGAGCAGTGGATGACACGTGCACAAGAGTGTATGTGTCATGAGCAGTAGACGACACGTGCACAAGAGTGTATGAAGAGTAGATGACACGTGTACAAAAGTGTATGTGTCATGAGCAGCAGATGACACGTGCACAAAAGTGTGTCATGAGCAGCATATGACACGTGCATAAGAGTGTATGTCATGAGCAGTAGATGACACGTGCAAGACTGTGTCATGAGCAGTAGATGACACGTGCACAAGTGTGTCATGAGCAGCAGATGACACGTGCACAATAGTGGATGTGTCATGAGCAGTAGATGTCACGTGCACAAGAGTGTGTGTCATGAGCAGTAGATAACACGTGCACAATATTGGACGCGTCAGAGCAGTAGATGACACGTGCACAAGAGTGTGTGTCATGAGCAGAAGATGACACGTGCACAAGTGTATGTGTCATGAGTAGTAGATGGCACGTGGACAAGATGTGTGTGTGTGTGTGTGTCATGAGCAGTAGATGACACGTGCACAAGGATGTATGTGTCATGAGCAGTAGACGACGTGTACAAGAGTGGATGTGTCATGAGCAGTAGATGATACGTGCACAAGAGTGTGTGTCATGAGCAGAAGATGACACGTGCACATGAGTGTATGTGTCATGAGCAGATGACACGCACAAGAGTGAGCAGTAGATGACACATGTAAAGGAGTGTATGTGTCGAGCATTAGATGACACGTGCACAAGATGCACAAGAGTGTATGTCATGAGCAGATTTCACGTGCACAAGAGTGTATGTGTCTTGAGCAGAAGATGACACGTGCACAAGCGTATGTGTCATGAGTAGTAGATGGCACGTGGACAAGGTGTGTGTGTGTGTGTGTGTGTGTGTGTGTGTGTGTGTGTGTGTGTGTGTGTGTGTGTGTGTGTGTGTGTGTGTGTCATGAGCAGTAGATGACACGTGCACAAGGATGTATGTGTCATGAGCAGTAGACGACGTGTACAAGAGTGGATGTGTCATGAGCAGTAGATGATACGTGGACAAGAGTGGATGTGTCATGAGCAGATAACACGTGCAAGAGTGTATGTCTCATGAGCAGTAGATGACACGTGGACAAGGTGTGTGTGTGTGTCATGAGCAGTAGATGACACGTGCACAAGGATGTATATGTCATGAGCAGTAGACGTGTACACGAGTGGATGTGTCATGCAGTAGATGATACGTGGACAAGAGTGGATGTGTCATGAGCAGTAGACGACACGTGTACAAGAATGGATGTGTCATGCAGTAGATGATACGTGGACAAGAGTGGATGTGTCATGAGCAGTAGACGACACGTGTACACGAGTGGATGTGTCATGCAGTAGATACGTGCACAAGAGTGTATGTGTCATGAGCAGTAGACGACACGTAGACTAGAGTGTATGTGAGCAGTAGACGACACGTGTACTGTACAAGAGTGGATGTGTCATGAGCAGTAGATGATACGTGGACAAGAGTGGATGTGTCATGAGCAGTAGATGATCACGTGCACAAGAGTGTATGTGTCATGAGCAGTAGACGACACGTGTACAAGAATGGATGTGTCATGAGCAGTAGACGACACGTGCACAAGAGTATGTGTGTCATGAGCGGTAGATGACGCGTGGACAAGAGTGTATGTGTCATGAGCAGTAGATGATGACACGTGCACTAGTGTATGATTGAGTTACGTAATAACAACCCCCCCCTCCCCACACACGTAACCTGAAAGACAAATCGAACATTAATAAGAGTAACTATATTATTTACGCTGGTTAATTATATATAATATCTGAAAAAAATAATAATAATGAAGAAAAAGTATTGGTTAGGTCAGTGTACCTCTCGCCACACCCTTCGCGCAATACACGATAAAAAAAAAGTTGCCAAACCACTAGATCACTGCTGTGTCCAAATTTCAGCTTCCTGGCTCAAAACGTGCCTAAGATAGCGCCCGGACAACCAACCCAACGTGACGAACAAGCGGAGTTACCACCTAGTACACACCCTGAGCTTCTCCCGGATGGAATTGTGGGGTGGGAGGGGGTTAGGTGAGGCTGTGTATAATATTTAATGGAAAAGAGAGACTGACAGGCAAACGGGTGGATAGAGAGATAGATTATACAGGCAGGCAGAGAAGGTATACCAAATCACGATTAACATCTCTACGGCTTTTATTTAACGAACCAGAATATAATTGTCGCCTTAAAGTTGCTGGCTCTCTATAGATCTTAAACCATTTAAATATCTTAAACCAAAACAACAGCTACTACTACAACCATTACCACTACTACAACCACCACCACTACAACTACTTCTACTACTACTTCCAATGGTGCGTAAAAATGACAAACTTTCGCGTCAACTCAGGAGAGAGAGAGAGAGAGAGAGGGGCAGCCAGGCACGGCACACCAGCAGGTACACGCTGACAGAACCTCGCGCTGTGCATTACCAAGCGTTTAACCTGACGATGGAGGAACGTTATCGAACTGATGGTTAAAGTGGGATTTTGCGAGGTTAATCTGGGCTAGTTTAAGGTACGATTAAGTTAGGTTAGGTTCGGTGAGGATAGGTTAAGTTAAGGCAGATTAGGTTAGGATAGGTTGAGGTAGGTTAGGATTGGTTAAGGTTAGATTAAATTGAGGTAGGTTATGTTAGGTTAAATTCGGCTAAGTTAGGATAGATGAAGATAGAACAGGATAGGATAAGTCAGGTTACACAGCTCTAGGTATAAGCCATCCTCCGCATCGTTCACCTCACATACCGTCATCTCCCGCCATGTAAAATATCACAAAAGTTGACCCCGTGACCCGGAGGTGAGACAACGCTGGCTTGGTCGTGCGGGGTAGAATCTCGTTTCAATTTCGATGCCAATTTTTGACTCTTGGGGTAATTTTTGTGGTCATTATGGATTTTCGGGGTAGTTTTTGTAGTCATTGTGGATTTTGGCGGCGGTTTTAGTAGTCATTGTGGATTTAGGGGTAAATTTTTGTAGTTATTTTAGGTCTCCATCACAGAGTTATGTAGCTTACGTTCGACAAATCCCTGATATGATGTGCAACCATGACAGCGAGGACAGGGAGTTTGACAGCGAGGACAGAGTATGGAAGCGAGGACAGGGAGTAGGCGAGCGAGAACAGGGAGTCGGGGTGTTTGACAGCGAGGACAGAGTACGGCAGCGAGGACGGGATTTGACAGCGAGGACAGGGGGCTTAAAAGCGAGGACGGGATTTGACAGCGAGGACAGGGAGTTTGACAGCGAGGACGGGATTTGACAGCGAGGACAGAGTATGGCAGCGAGGACTGGGAGTATGACGGCGAGGACAGGGGGTTTAACAGGAGCTACGACAAACATAACGGGCAAGGGCAGACAGTAAGGAGTGGAGGGAGACCATAACTCGGCGTGGACAATGGGGAGAGAGAGGTGGGAGGGGTAGGGTAGGAGGGGAGCAATACGACCAGCAGGGAGGTGGGAGGACCTGGACGATTTAAATTAAGACACCTACACTTTGTTTACTAACATTCAACGCCCAACGACTACGCCCACACCTATACCTGCGAGTCTCCTGGAGTGTGTCAAATGTGCAGTAGACCCCACCAGTAGTAGGGGGGCGGGGGGGGGGGAGGCACGTGGAAATAGTGCTGTAGATTAATGTAAGAGTAAGAGAGGTAGGTTGGGAGGGATCACTGCCCCTGAAACACGAACGCACATACACACCATCAACAAAGATCGACCCGCTGGGCAGATTTCCTCCCCCAAGGACGATTTGGCCGTGTCTCCGAACTTGTCACGACACCGTCGACATGACAACACTCATTTGCACACGCTGACCATGACTGTCGCCATGTTTAAACTATGGCAGGGCTCCCCCAGCTGTGTGGTGGTGTTGCTGCCAGGAGGGGAGGGAGGGAGGGGTGGCAAGGGGGTAATGTTGACGATGACGGGACCATCGCGAAGCAGCAAAAACCAGGAGGAGGAGGAGGATGTTTTTGGTGGTGTATTGGTCGTGGTGAGGCTGGGTGCTTTGTTCTCCTGCCTCCATCAGCACCTCCGCCAGAAGCACCTCCGACAAGCCAACAGACACAGGCAAGACAAGGTGTGTGGCGTTAGGGAGGAGCGTAGTACAGCACAGCCACTACATCAACAGTGGTGTGTGGGAGCTGTCACCTGCCACCATCACCTTCTGGTATTGTGTAAATATGTTGTTGGTGCCAGGAACACCAGGCACTGACGTTAACCTTGTTCCTTCCCTCCAATACCTTCCTCACACTCACACACACCCCTACCACCTCCTGCCCAATACACAGACAAACGCTCCCTCCTGCCCCCCTCACACACACACACCACCTCTTACCTCCCTCACATATAAACACAAACACTCACCTTTCTAAAAAACACATACATACATACATACATATATACACCACCCCTGCCTCCTTCAAACACAAACACAAACCTCCAGCCTCCGTGAAACACATGAACAGCCTTTTGGCTGCCATGTTCCTTCAACAAACCGTTAATTATTATTATTATATACACACACAAGCACACACATCACTTCCCTCACACAAAAAACACAAACACACACGCAAACAAATAACACCTCTTGTCACACACTTACACACAGACACACACACATAAACACAGACGCAACAAACACCATCTCTTGTCTCAGACACACACATACACACGCGCTTAAGGAAAACAGCAGAAGAGGTTGGCGTGGTGCACACCTCAGCTGTACACTAACACTACAACACAGAAGAAACTTTATTTACCTGAAGAAGGCGGGGTTCATGGGACCTGGAGGTCCACCTGGACCATGCATTGGCATTCCTGGACCAGGTCCACCTGGACCACCGGGGCCTCCCGGGCCCGGCATCATTCCCGGGCCAGGGCCACTAGGGCCTGAGGGGACCTGGGGGCCGTTGGGCATACCATGACCCGGCATGCCTGGACCACTAGGCATACCCGGGCCACCGGGCCCAGGCCCTGACCCACCTGGCCCTACTGGTCCTCCAGGTCCCCCTGGACCATGGAGGAAGGCAGCAGGGCCTCCAGGTGGACCATGGCCCGGGTGGGCCCCGAGGCCTACAGGTCCCTGGGGACCATGGGGCATGTTGGCCGGCCCCACGGGGGCAGTGTCCCCACTAAGGGGACCCTGAGGGCCCACGGCGCCGGTCATCATGTGCGGGGGTGGGGGCAGGCCGTCATGGTCCCCTGGGGCCCCCAACCCCGTGGTGACGGGCTGCTTGCGTCGACCCGTCTTGATGGGCATATAGCGATGTGTTCAGCCGTCTGTGGCCACCATAAAGTGCGGCCCGGGCCACTCTACACTGTCACCACTACACCATGTGGGCGGCGCGGCACACACAGCGACACTGGCACCTGTCACACAGGGGGGCCCGCCCCCTCACTACCTGCACCACCTCCTCCTCCACCTCATCCACCGCGTACACTCTGGTGGGCGGGGTGGGCAGAGGTGGGCGCGCGGGCCATCAACACTGGACACGTGAGGGCGGCCACCACCACGGGCGGCAGTCGTGGCGGGGCTGGGACAGCAGTGGTGGCGGCGGCAGGCGGCGGAGCGGCAGGCGGCGGTGGCAGTGACTGGCGGGTTCCCGGCCTGACTGTAGCGGGCTAGTGGTGGTGGAGACTCTCCTCGCGCCTCTCTCACGCGCACACCTCGCCTCTCTCTCCACCTCTCTCTCTCTCTCTCTCTCCCTCTCTCTCTCTCTCTCTTCTCTCACTCTCTCACCGTGCCGCGCGCCTCCTAGCCTCTCCCGGGGTGCCGTGTAATCCTCACACACGTCAATCAATGAATCTTGAGCGGCGAGGAGGACGATATGTAGACAGCGAGGAGCAGCAGCGCACGACCCACGCGGCACCACACACAACACCACACACATATACACACACACACATACACACACACATACACGCCGCCACCCCCCACCCGCTCCTGCGTGTTTCGGGGGTGTGCTGGGGGGTGTAGGGGGGGCTAGAGAGGGGGAGGAGGAACTAGAGAGGGGAGGGGGGAAGGAGGTACACAAACGTTGCTGCCTTCTTGCCTACCGCACCTCACTACCTATAACCCAACTCTACCACTACTCCACTTTAACATCCACCCTCACCACAACACATCCCTGCCATCAACGCACATACACGCACACACACGCCTTCACCGATACACCTACAGAACTTCAAATTACACCCAAAATACTCGTCGGGGAAATACACTCGTTGGTACCTCAAGCCGAGAGGGGGTGCGAGAGAGGGGGAGGGAGAGGTGGTGGAGGGTCCGGGTCGCCTCCTGCCCAGAGGTACCCTATCGGTACCCCAAGGCCTGCTGGTACCCCCATGGTTTCTTGGTGCCCCTTGGCCTGCTGGTTTCTTGGTGCCCCTTCAGCCCGCTGGTACCCAGACCCCCTGGCGCCTCCAATGGCCCGATAGTACCCCAAGTCTCTTGGGATCCCTCTGACCTACTGGTACCCCGTGTGCCTGCTGGTGCCCCCTGGCCTAATAGTACCCCGCTGGCTTAATGGTAAACCCCTGGGCTTGAAGGTTACCCGAAGCCTATGGTAATCCTCAAGACCTGCAGGTACCCCAATGGCCTACTGGTGTCCCTTGGCTTGTTGGTACCCCCCTGGCTTCCTGGTGCTCCCCTGGCCTTCTGGTACCCCCTGGCTTGGTGTACCTTGGCTTGCGGGCGCCCCCTGGCTTGCCAGTGCCCCGATGGCTTACTGGTGCCCCTCCCTGGTTTGCTTGTACCCCTTGGCTTGCTGATGCTGTCTGGTTTGTTGGTACCCCGTGGCTTGCTGGTACTCATGGTGCCCTCCGGCTTGCTGGTGCCCCCCCCCCAAGCCTGCTGGTACCTCACCGCCTGATGGTGCCCCTCCCGGACTACTGGTAACCCCAGTCTACTGGTGCCCCTTGGCCAGCTGGTACCCCACGACCTGATAATACCCCTCGGCCTATTGGTACCCCAAGCCTGCTGGTACCCCCTGGCCTGCCTTGCCCTGCCCAGGTAACACTACCACGCCACGCCGCCCCGCATACCAGCGCAACACCCCCCTACCCTTGCCCTCCCCTACTTCACCCTACCACCCTCTTCCCTGCCTAACCCCATCCCAGCCCACCCTGATGCTGCCCCACCCACCATACCCCGCACTTCACGGGACAGTGTACGGAGCTGGCTAGTCACTTACCCACGTAGGCTTGTTACTTACCTATGGAGGTTTGTCAATTACCTTCACATGTGACCTCATGCCTGACCTCCTCACCTATTGACTTCCGCACCTACTGACCACCACACCTATTGACTTCCACACCTATTGACTTCCACACCTACTGACCACCACACCTATTGACTTCCACACCTGCTGACCACCACACCTATTGACTTCCACACCTACTGACCACTACACCTATTGACTTCCGCACCTGCTGACCTCTACACCTACTGACCACCACATCTATTGACTTCCACACCTGATAACCTCCACACTTGATGACCTCCACATCTACTGACCACCACACCTATTGACTTCCACGTCTGCTGACCTCCACACCTATTGACTTATTGACTTCCACAACTACTGACCACCACACCTGCTGACCTCCACACCTACTGACCACCACAACCTATTAACTTCCACACCTACTGACCAATTACACCTATTGACTTCTGACACCTACTGACCTCCCTCACCTATTGACTTCCACACCTGCTGACCCTCCACACACCTATTGACTTCCACACCTGCTGACCTCCACACTTACTGACCACCATACCTATTGACTTCACACGTACTGACCACTACACCTATTGACTTCTGACACCTACTGACCTCCCACCTATTGACTTCCACACCTGCTGACCTCCACACCTATTGACTTCACACCTACTGACCTCACCCACACACTGCTGACTTGCCACCACCACACCACTCCACACCTGCTGACCTCCACACCTGCTGACCACCACACCTATTGACTTCCACACCTACTGACCTCCACAACTATTGACTTCACCACCTGCTGACACCGCACCTATTGACTTCACACCACTGACCTCCTCACCTATTGACTTCCATACCTGACCTCCACACCTATTGACTTCCACACCTACTGACCTCCTCACCCATTGACTTCCACACCTGCTGACCTCCACACCTACTGATCACCACACCTATTGACTTCCACACCTGATGACCTCCACACCTACTGACCACCACACCTATTGACTTCACACCTGCTGACCTCCACACCTATTGACTTCCAGACCTGATGACCACCACACCTATTGACTTCCACACCTACTGACCACCACACCTATTGACTTATTGACTTCCACACTTATTGATTTCCACACCTGCTGACCTCCACACCTACTGACCACCACACCTATTGACTTCCACACCTGATGACCACCACACCTATTGACTTCCACACCTGATGACCACCACACCTATTGACTTCCACACCTGATGACTTCCACACCACCAACTGACCTCCACACCTATTGACTTCCGCAGCTGCTTACCTCCACACAAACTGACCGCCCATATCTACTGATCCCCACACCTGTTGACCTCCACACCTGCTAATCTCTACATTCACTGATCTCTCACACTTACTGACCTCCACACCTGCTGACCCTCCACACCTGCTGACCTCGACACCTACTGACCTCTACACCTGCTGACCTCCACACCTGTTGACTTTATAACCTTATAACCTTCATCCTTGTCGAACTCCACACCTGTTAATCTCCACACCAGTTGATATATACACCTACTAACGCCTCCATACATGTATTAATACCACACCTGTTTATCATCACAGATAATAACCACATCTGTTGACATCGACTCATGCTGACCACACCTGAAAAGCGCCACACTTCACACTTCCCAATCCTCACTCATTAACACCCACACCTGACGACTCCCACACCTGTCAATCTTTACACCTGTCAACCTCCACACCTGTTAATCTCTACACCTGTCAATCTCTACACCTGTCAATCTTCACACCTGTCAACCCCTTAACCTGTCAATCTTCATATCTGCCAACCCCCCACACCTCCCAACTTCCCACACTCATCAATTCCCCACACCTACCAACCTCCCTCCTTCTCCCCCCACCTCCCCCACCTACGAACCTCCACACCTCTACGTGTATCAGTGCTCAAGTACTACATCAACACACACACACACACACACACACACACACACACACTCCATACAGAGGATAATGTTGTAAATCACTCGTGTTAGTCTGGTCTGGTCTGCTGTGTGTGTGTGTGTGTGTGTGTGTGTGTGTGTGTGTAACAAAGATACAAATTTCTATCTTTTGTTAATTTATTCTGAATTTGTTTGTTGGTGTATACTATAAGGCAGGAAAATCTATCTATCTATCTATCTATCTGTGTCTGTCTGTCTGTCTGTCTGCTTAACTAATTTACAGTATATTTATTTAGCCATGTTTCCCTATTTACCTAAATTTTGTAAACCTATTTCTATTTCTCAACTCAAGATGTTTACGCAAAAGTTCATAATTGTACACCATATTAAGACCAAGTTAAGGTGTATGATAGAAATCCACATTAGTCTTAACATCATTTATACAATATTTTGAGTATTGTAAGTCACAGAATTATCATCTGTGTGTTCTTTTATAACTCTGTGTGTTCTTTTATAACTGGTTTATATTATTAGGCTTTTGTTATTGTTTGTTAAGGTTTGATATTGTTTGCTTGTAGTAAATAATGTCGGTAGGTGTCTGTTTACTTTTGGGTTTCTGTTGTTAGTTGTCTGTTTACTTTAGGTTTTCTGTTGTTAGTTGTCTGTTTACTTTTGGGTTTCTGTTGTTACGTGTGTTTACTTTAGGTTTTCTGTTGTTAGTTGTCTGTTTACTTTAGGTTTTCTGTTGTTAGTTGTCTGTTTACTTTTGGGTTTCTGCTGTTACGTGTCTGTTTACTTTTGGGTTTCTGCTGTTACGTGTCTGTTTACTTTTGGGTTTCTCTCTCGTTCGTGTTTCCGGTAAAATGTTTATTGACAATCGTAACACCCCCCAAAAAATATACCGGCATTTAATTTACATTTTATATACGAAAATGAGTTCTATTAACGCTTTATTTTATAGTATTAAGACTTGTGGGAGAGGGAGGGAGGGGGAGGAGGGAGAGAGGTGGAGGGAAGGAGGAGGGAGGGGAGGGAGGGAGTGGGAGGAGGGTTGATAACGTCATTGGTCGGTCATGTTTTGAGGATTATAGTGGGGTTGGGTTGTATTAGGTTAGGTTATATTGGGACAGGTCAGGTCAGGTCAGGTCAGGTTAGGTTAGTTTAGGTAAGACGAGGTTAGGTTATATTAGGTCAGTATAGTTTAGGTTAGGTTTCTAATGATCATATTCGCTTAAGAGTTTCCATTATAGTGATCTACACGATAGTACAGATACAGACCAGTTGCGATTGTCGAAACATACAAATGGTCGTTAGTTCTTATATATATTCCAATAAACTTGACAGGTGTTGATAACCAGGTGTTTGTGCTGGCATATGCTGTTTCTTCTGTCATCTTTTATATATATTTGTTTCTGTGTAAGTGTCACTCTTCTCGTGTCCACCTCAACTTTTCAATTAAGACGAGGAGGAGGGATGGGGAGGAGGAGGAGGGATGGGGGGAGGAGGAGGGA